ACTGTGGGGGATAAGCGTAAGCTATTTCCTGTCCCCAGTCTATGGTGAAGGCATCCACTGCTACTGCTGCTGGATCCGACATTCCACGCTACATAACGTGGAAGTTGAGCGTTTAGTCTGGAGGCGAACAGGTCTATCGTCACTCCAGGCATGAACTCTGACAGATTTCTGAAAACTTCTGGATTCAGTTGCCATTCTGTCCTGTCGTTGAAGACCCGTGACAACGTGTCTGCTATTTGATTTTTGCCCCTTCCACGTGGGATGCTGTCAGCATTTAGTCCCCCTTTTGTAGAGCCCAGTTTCCACATTTCTAGACTGAGCTTCATCAACTGAACTGATTTGGTGCCTCCTTTCCGATTGATATACGCCACAGCTGTGGTGTTGTCCAGCTTCATTTTTACCAGTCCTCTTGGAACATTTTGGGCAAGGGACTGAAGGGAAAGGAAGGCCGCTTTCAGTTCTAAGACATTGATGTGGTCGGCCTTCTCCAGGCTTGACCATCGCCCCCCCGCCTTTTTTTCTTGTGAGAATCCTCCCCATCCCTGGAGGGAGGCATCGCTTTGTACTTCCAGGACTGTTTGTGGTCTCAGTTGAGCCCCGTTCGAGTTTGTTAGCGATTTCGGCCACCAACACAGATCCTGTCGTGCCATCGGAGAAAGACGAATCACACTGCTGTAGTGTCCCGACTTCTTGAGACCGAGACGTAGATCTTTCTGTAGGTAACGGTAGTGTAGGGGTGCCAGTGGCACCGCTTGGCTGGTTGAAGACAACAACCCTACTAGGCTCGCTAGTTCTTGTAAGGGAGGCTTTTCCCTTCGAAAGTAGGTTTTGACATCGATCCACTATCTTCAGTACTTTCTGGTCCGGCAGGAGGACTTCCATCTTCACTGAGCAAATAGTGAACCCTAGGAACTCCCTTGTTTGGGATGGTGTTAACTGCGACTTCTCCAAGTTGACTACAAACCCCAGGTTCTCTAAGAAGGACCGGGTCAGAGCCGTGTGCTCTCTGCATAGATCTGCACTTTGTGCCATTATCAATATATCGTCCAAAAATATTACTAGCCGGACTCCGAGGGCTCGTAGCTGAGCCGCAATTGGCTTGAGAATCTTGGTAAAGACCCTGGGGGCCGAGGACAAACCGAAGGGGAGGACTGCAAACTCGTAAAGACTGTCTTTCCATATGAACCGTAGGTATTTCCTGTGATTGTGGAATATGGGTACGGTGAAGTAGGCATCCTTCAAATCTAGATTTGTCATATAATCCCCCGGTTGGAGCAGATCCAAGACCTTTTGGAATGTTTCCAATTTGCAATGTTTCTTGACAATGAAATTGTTCAAGTACTTGAGGTTGATAACTGGGCGAAGTTCTCCGCATTTTTTGGGGACAAGAAAAATTGAAGAGATGAACTGACCTGTTGTGGGTAAGGCTCTCTGGATAGCTCCTTTTGAGAGGAGTTTTTCCACCTCCTGGTCGATTAGAATTGTGTCTGAGCCGGGGCGAACTTTGGTGACCGGTATGTGGATTTGTGATGGTTGGGAGGAGAGTTCTAGACGGTAACCCTGGATGGTGTCCAATACCCAATTGTCCTGTGTAATCATACGCCAGTTGTGGACGAAATGGGCAGTTCGCCCCACGGAAGGGAGGTGACAAGTTGGAAGATGAAAGTTGTGGTACTGGAGAGAGGGTGGCCCAGGAGGTGGAGATCTTGGAGTGACTAGTCCTAGTTTTTTGGAGGGGAACGAAACCCCCCGACGACTGAGTGTTAGCTTTCTTTTTGTGGTAGGGAGCCTTCTTGTGGTCTGAACGAAATCTACCCTTGGATTTGTTCCGAAAGTCTTTCTTTGGGTTGTACTTCTGGTTGTAGTGCCCTCCCGACGAGAAGACGCCTCCCAGAGCTTTCTTAGACGTGGAGGCATTCTTCACTT